TGTGTGTGTGTGTGTGTGTGTGTGTGGCCACCACCACACAAACATAATATTTACATTTGTATTCATAACGTTGATATTAAAGTTAAATCCATGAAACGTTAGCATTATAACTTAGTGGTATTATTGTAGGCTTTTAACTAACTTCTGAGTTTTACAGTAGCCTATAAAGTCATGTCGAGACACTTAACTAGTCACTTATACCGTTACGATAAACATGTAACTGCACAAAATGCATAAAATTATGTTATGTGTAAACGTACGTGTTTTTTAAGCTTTTATTTTTGTTTTAGCTCGGTCATATTTCCGGGATCGAGCGGCGATTAACCAACTTACGGTTGTAGCTTCCGGCATGGATTGGATGTATGGCGGTATGGCGGCGCCCTGTCGGCCATCTTGACTGCAGCAAGGTACTCTTGGTTGGTTTGGGATATTGAACATAAAAGCATTTTAACATATTCTAGTGGAAACCCCAAATACAAGTATGAACCTAAATATGAGCATAATATAGGACCTTTGAAGATATTTGTAGTGTGTTTGTGTGGCATTCTCAGTAATTGGTATTATGGTATTTATATAATTTTACCTTTAGTTTTATTATTATTATCATTAATAATAATAATAATAATAATAATAATAATACTTAGAATTTCTTCATGTTCTCTTTTAAGTTGCATTATTTCAGCTGCTTAGTAGCTTAGCATACTGAAGAAAGAATTGTAGATCTTACGAGACGCACTTAAACGCAGCATAGATCATAACAGAAGAGTCATGTGACACATGCGGCTTGCGCATGCGCAGTGTTATTGGTCTCACTGTGCAGTAGCTGTTTGCAGCGTTATCCCTGGAATATGAGTAACATGTTTGCTTTTTTCACGGTAACACTAACCCTGTTTAGTGTCGAAGTGTTTGGCCTGCCGTACAGTTATTCTCAGGTATTTTACTTTTCAGTGTTTGTTGTTTTTCCTGAAACCTCAGTTCCGCTTTAGGGGAAGTCCATAGTCTCGTGCCTGTGCCTCTGCTCGTTGTTGCAGAAATGTGACAAACACAGCACTAACTTTAGTTTATGTTAATTTAAGTAAAGTTTGTTAGGATGTGTCGTGTATCTGAGTGGGCACAAACATCTTGTTTAACGGTGTGTTCGTTGTTGTGTCAGCCGAGTCAGAGAGTTTTAAACACAGGTCCAGAAGTAGGCTACATTCTATCACTTTATGGTTTTCTGATAATAGAGCACTGATAATTTACAGTTTATTTCATAGAGTTTTGTTTGACTTTACTGAGGAAACGTCCCCTAAAGGAACACGACTTAAAGCAGCAATGTCATATGAGATTCTTGCATTTCCCTTGTAAAGTTCTGGTGTGTTTCAGTCTTGTACGTCATTTATATCTTTACGAATGACAGAATAATTCAGTATAATATGCAGTAATCCATTATAACACCTTTTAATAGTCAAGAAAACAACATGGATTCAAGACGGAGCCGCAGTTCACAGAGAAGTACTTCAGCCAGACTGTGGATCACTTCAACTTTAACAGCATGGGGAATGGAACATTTAATCAGCGTTACCTGATCACAGGTGAAACCAGCTTCCTGTTTCACATGTAACTATGGGGCTGTGTGCTCAATGACTGAGTGACTGTGATTTCTCTCCTTTAAGATAAGTACTGGAAGAAAGGCTATGGTCCTGTTTTCTTCTACACTGGCAATGAGGGAGACATCTGGGAGTTTGCACTCAACTCTGGCTTCATCACAGAGCTGGCTGCTCAGCAGAGCGCCTTGGTCATATTTGCTGAACATGTAAGAAAACACTGATACAAATCATGACAGAGCACAGTCAAGTACAGTCAGCATGAGTACAGTTATGGCTGAAAAGAATTTGCAGATCATGTGAAAAAGGAAAATGGGAAATGAATGGTTAACGTTTGACTCATAAGATCAGCTGATTTTAACTGCACTTCCACAAACTTCCAACCACAAGTTTTCTTTTTTTAACCAGGCAGTTTGGTTTCCACTGTCAAGACACTTTGCAATCTGGTCAGCCGGTGTATCTGTGAAACTAACAGATAATTGTGCGTGTTGTAGGGAATCTCTGTTCCTGGTTTAAGTTTACAATAGTGGCCTTAATATGTATTTAAATATACATTACAATTTATATTTTTCTTTACTTTCTCACAGGGATATATCAAGCATCCCAATGATACTGTGTGGAAAAATAGGGGAGATAATAAAAAAAACAAGAAAACAGTCGAAAAATAAAACCTCAGGAAAAAGAGGTTTGATCGGAGGCTGAGTGTGAATGTAATACAGGATTATGAATTTAACAAAAAGGACACACTGCAAGCAGTTTCATCATTTATTACATGAGTGATGTAAATGCAGTATTAGAGAGGAAAAGAGGGTCTTCAGTAAGCTGGGCTCTGCAGATATTGAAACATATGGCTTGGTATCAAACCTCATTGCTTTTTCAGGAGCCTGCCAACTAAAATACGTGTGCAGCACTGAAGCCTGTAAGAACTGAAAGCTGACATCAAATGTTTGGCCAGATTTGTAATCTTGTTAACCTATTCTGTGGTAAGATAATTGCTGATGCAAACCAATTTACAAGTTTGTATTTATCTAGTCAAAGTTCTTGTACAGCTGCATTTACACAACAAATTTCTTTATGGCACAGAAAATGTATCAGATGCATCATCACACATTATACTTGTTAATACATACATTCATTGTTGGTTTAGCACCGCAGATGAGATTTGCTGAAAATAAGTCACAGATTTTCATAGTCTCATTTTCCAGGCCTAGAAAAGTCAAGGAATTTTGTGTGCCACTAAATGTAATATAACAACATGTTTTGTGTGTGTGTGTGTGGATGTTGATGCAGCGTAGCTCCAGTATGCACCCATGTGTGACAACGTTTTGTTTACCATCACATACATTTCGTGATTTTCTCCCTGAGTTCTGTGTCTCCCTCCATGTATGCCAACTAGCTGGAATTATGTGTGAAGAAAGCTTGAATCTGACAAGTTTGAATAAGAGACAAATCATTTTGTGACAGTGTGATTTAACATGAACGTGATAACTGTGCTCTGCATTTTTTAAAGGGAGTGTTATTTGTGTTATTTACTGTGAATGGTAATGGAAATTTTTATCGTTTTATTTGAGTGTCTTATCTTGCGTGACTACCATGGTCCTCCTCTCCTTGTTTCCAGAGGTACTATGGCAAATCTCTGCCGTTCGGCAAAGACTCCTTCAGCATTCCTCAGATCGGCCTACTGACAGTGGAGCAAGCCCTCGCTGACTATGCTGTCATGATCACTGAGCTGAAACAGCAGCTGGCAGCAACAGACTGTCCCGTCATCGTGTTTGGTGGCAGGTAAGATCCACCTGAAAGACACTGCTCTCAGTGTCGTCCACCTGTGTGACTCGTCGAGCTCCTCGGAGGTTTTTATTCCTTATATAAGTGATAGGTCTGACACTGGTTGTTTGCTTGAAGCTTGAATATGTAACTTTTGTGTGCCCTTGAAAATATAGTCTCTTTAATAAGTGATAAAATTACTTAACTTAATTTGCAAATTTGCAGGTTTCATATCTCCACCACTAATTTGGCATCGAACTTCATGCCTAAGTCATAAGATAAGATAAGACAGATCTTTATCCCGAGGGACATTGCTGTTCAGAGGTTGCAATACAAAGTTAGAAGAGTGCAGATACAAAGTGTGCAATATACAAGGACTAAAAAAGTATAGCAGGTAAGCAAATGTATAGCAAACCTAAATTACATTTTATAGCTAATATAAAACAAAACTAAATATAAAACTTGTTAACAGTTAAGTATAAAATATTAAAAAAAAATAACACAACTGGCTAACAGTAAGACATTAATGTATTAGGAAACTAAAAGCTCTGCTTCTATTCTTTTTCGGCCATTGCGCACTATTGAATTTAAGCAGAAGATGCAAAAGAGGAAATTATGCTGTAATCTTTTGATGCTTGACACACTCAGTGTCCAGTTTATTAGGTCCATCTGCTGTAGCTAAAACCAGTGCAATCCAATCACCGAGGTGTTGAGTGAAATGTAAGATGATTCTGTATTTCGTTATACTTTTTTAAATTAACTTTCAAAAACAGACAAATGCCGTAATGCACAGTAATAATAATGTCAATAAAACTAACATAGGCACATAAAAGTAGCATGTTCATATAAAATGAGACAACAATAAACATGAAAGAGGACAAGAAAAATACAGTTTAAATGGGACAAAATGGGCCAGCACAATCTTACCGAAGAATTTGCAGAAATGTTTTCTTTATGTATCAGAGGTTCAAAAAAGCAGGTGGCAGTAAAGCCTGCCAGTGCAAGTCCAAAATCCTGTTTGGATATACCTGGTTGACGCAGAGACATGTCTCCTAATAAAAATTCAGTCATTCAGCCCCTCTCTAATATGTTTGATCATTTGTTCCCAAAAATAAGGGACAAAGGAGCATTCTTACAGAGGACCAGCTGAATTTCACTTCCGACAGTAACTTTTATTCAGAAGTCTCACTTGTATATAATAATACATGTGTGTACATTTTAGGGTGAAAGGCTTCACATGCAGGTATCCCACTAATTGAGTGACAACACCCATGTTAGAAGCGTTGTCTGTGACAGAGAGTCAGTAGAAGCATGCAGTGCCCTGTCAGCTGCTGTCATGTTGAGTTGTAGTAACAGACTATATAGAAGCAAAGCAGGGTTCACTGGCACAACTCAAGCAACACTTCCAGTATACAAAACACTTTTTGGCTTGTGGCCTGCAGAGATGACCCTAATAAAGGCTTCACCAGTATCATAGACTTTTACAGTTGGCTGTAAAAGCTACTTAGAAAAGCCATAAATGTTTGACTGAATTGCCCTCCCAAAAAGGGAAAACATTTTAGCCACAGAAGCTGTACCTAATAAACTGGCAGCTGGTGTGCAGTTTTGGACACCATGTGATAGACCTTATTTGACTATGCTTAATAGAGACTGCCTTTGCCTTTTGTGCAGGTAGTTATTATCTGAAAAAAGTTTCTACTAGCGCTGCCACTCCTGATCATTTTCTGTTCTGATGAAGCAGCTTATCATTTCCTCAATCAGTCATTTAATAAAATGTCAGAAAGGAGTCAAAAGTTCCAGAGCCCAAGTGAATGTTTTTTAATAAGTAGTCCAGATATATGGGCCATGACTGACAATGGACAATGAATGAATATAACATACACTGAAAATCATTCTTTTTCATGTCTCCATCTGCTGGAGGGCCATCATGATAAGAGTATGCATGCATTATACTGTATGATGTTAATTCCTCTAAAGAGGAGACTTGAAAATGACTGAAATTAGGTGGGGAAAAAGGAGATGAAATATTTAATGTACTATTATCCAGCAAAAACATCCAGGTTGAATGTTATGTGAGAGCTGCAGTGTCAGGTTTCAGAGTGTGATCTGAGCCTTTTTGTACTTGTGCTTCTGTGAAGTTTGATAAGGCTCAGTAACAAGTTTCCCTTTTCTTTCAGATATCAGATCATAGTTTTTGCTCAGTTCATGACACAAGATACATTCTAAAACCAAAGATACCCATTTTCAGTATTGTGTGTCATCTTGTCTCCTCTTGGGCTGTCTCCTCTCTTCCCGCAGTTATGGTGGAATGCTGTCAGTCTACATGAGACTCAAGTATCCAAATATTGTGGCTGGAGCTCTGGCTGCCAGTGCGCCCATACTGTCCACTGCTGGGCTGGGAGACTCGAGGCAGTTTTTCAGAGACGTCACAGCTGTAAGTCTCTGGATGCTCCTTTTTGTTGTCGCCCACAGACAAACAACCTCAGTCCACCTAAGCCTAACCTAAGTAGTTCCAAAAAATTGTTAGAGCTGTTTTGGACACACAGTTGTAAGTAATGTGTAAATTTACATACAGGAGTGCAGGTTGGATAATGACCTTTGTTACTCTTTCAAAGGATTTTGAAAGTGTTGCCACTGAATGCAGAGAAGCTGTGAGAGGAGCGTTCCATCAGCTGAAAGAAATGGCAGAACGACAAGGTAAATGTGTGTTATAATGTTCTCTCTGAAGAGAAGATGGCCTCAATTTTATTTACATATCATTATGTACCATAAAAAGAAAAACTGGAGTGTACCGCCTCACTAAGGCAGCAATGACACCTCAATTTGTTTTAATCCAACTGAGAAAAAACAAAAAAAGTGATTTTTGTCAAATGATGTTGAGATCTTATTCTGACTTTGAGGGTGCTGCTCGAGGTCATCATGGAGATGTAGTAACTGAATGATGAATGCAAACCCACTACTGTTGATGTTAACCAGATTACAGTCGCATCCAGTCAGAGTTCTCCCTGTGTAAGGCTCCATCATCTGCTCAGGACATCCACCAGCTCAATGGCCTGCTGAGGAATGCCTTCACTTGTATCGCCATGCTGGATTATCCATACAGCACTCACTTCATGGGCAACATGCCTGCAAACCCTGTCAAGGTAACTGCACATCAGAAGTCGATAGTGCTCCTTATGAGTGAGCAACATGACTTATACTGAAATTATCATCAGACAACAGAACAGAAACTATATTCAGCCATCCCAAGTTGTTCAGTGTGCCAACAAATCTGTTTAACAACAGCTGTGGACGTCCAGTGGGGTACCCCAAGAAATCTCAGACTTTTACCAGGGACTCAGACCATCATTAGCTTGTTAGGACTCTGGCTTGTTCACAATCATTGTTAGGAAAGGCCAAATGATGCAAAATTCAAAGCTTTATTGATACTCTGACTCCTGAAACCTTGTCCCAACAATCAGCAGCCATGGGCTCCTCTAAACAGCAGCCTAGCACTCTGAAAACTAAAATAACTGATGCCCACAAAGCAGGAGAAGGCTATAAGAAGATAGCAAAGTGTTTTCAGGTAGCTATTTCCTCAGATCGTAATTAAGAAATGGCAATTAACAGGAACTATGGAAGTCAAGTTGAGGTCTGGAAGACCAAGAAAACTTTCTGAGAGAGCTGCTTGTAGGATTGTTAAAAAGGCAAATCAAAACCCCTGTTTGACTGCAAAAGACCTGCAGAAAGATTTATCAGACTCTGGAGTGGTGGTGCACTGTTCTACTGTGCAGTGACACCTGTACAAATATGACCTTCATGGAAGAATCATCAGAAGGAAACCTTTCCTGGGTCCTCACCACAAAATTCAGTGTCAGAAGTTTGCAAAGGAACATCTGAACAAGCCTGATGCTTTTTAGAAACAAGTCCTGTGGACTGATGAATTTAAAATAGAACTTTTTGGACACAGTGAGCAAAGGTATGTTTAGAGAAAAAAGGGTGCAGAGTTTTATAAACAGAACAGCTGTCCAACTATTAAACAGTTAATCTATCACTGCTGAGCTACTCACAGTAAATTTTGACCAGGGGTGCCCAAACTTTTGCATGCTACTGTATATATGGGACAGCTGGCTTTGATATTTGTGTATGGGAGTCTGTCTGAATACGTTGCTTGCTGATTTATATTTTGAAAATTTAACAAAAAATTAACAAATAATGAAAATAAAAAAAGGCTTTACTCATCAAACTTGATGATGTCCTTCAAACTTTGAAATCTGTTTTAAAGGAACAACAGGATGTGAAACTATATGAATGACAAGTCTACGGGGTGTACACACAAAATGTTCATACATACTTTTATACATATTAGACATGAAATATAAATATATATAACATGAATATAAATATTAGTAATATGCCCAGAAATGACAAGAGTGAAATGAGTAAGAAGTTAAATCTTTTCTGGATAGACTGAAGCTGATTTTTTTTTTTCCAGGTGGCCTGTGAAACTATGTTGAGTGGACCAGACCTGCTCACCAACCTCAGGGACACTGCAGGTAAACCAACTGTACACTGGATCTAAAAGCAGCTCAGAACTGCGTGTGCATCTCCTGAAGAAAGTGCTTGTACAAAATGATCATTACTACATCACTGTTCATCTCTCTAACAGATGACTGAAATTTAAAACCATGCCACGTTGTTTCACACTGGATTGTAGATATTTTAGATACAAAGGTAGAGTTTGGAATAAAGCTCTCCAGTTGGCCATCAGGTATATTTCATGTCAAGAGCCACTAGAGGGCAGTGATCAGCTTTATATTATTTATTCAACATTAAACTTGGCTGCAAATGCTTCTGCTCTTTGAGTATACAATTGCTACCAGTGGTTCTAAAAAATATATGTTATTCTTTTTTTGGCTATGAGAAGCTGGTGTGCTCTGCCTGATTTTTCCTGGTTTCTTCCTGGTGGAGCGACCGGGAAGTGTTTCATTTTGAGTTAATGTGTGTCTGTCTGCTATCTCCTTCAAGATCACAGAGTACCTTCTGGGAAAGAATCCAGAATCTCTTTGACCATAAAAAGAAATAATAATGGAAGTCATGAGAGAAAAGTCTCTTGTTTTAAACTTGATATGTACAGTATCTACCTGGATCTAACAGACAAATCAAACAGACATTTCAGTCTCTAACTCCTGTCAGTGTTTAACTGACACAATCCTGTCCTGCAGGGATTCTGTACAACGCTACTGGGATTCTGACCTGTTTTGACCTGTACAGTCTGTATTTGGAGTGTGCTGATCCCACTGGCTGTGGACTGGGTTTCAACAGCATGGCCTGGGACTATCAGGTACTCCCAACAATCACCAGTATTTGTATGTAGTCTGATCAAAATGTGAGCATAGACTCATTACAGGTTGGTATCAGTCAGCTCTTTATGTAGAGTTGGAAGTGACTCCAGTAATATTTGGTGTAGGGATGGATGCACTGAAAGCTTATGGTAATATAAAGCAGTGGTTACCAACTGATGCAGCCACAGGGTGCAGATTACTCCGTAGCCATTAGTTCAAGGTCCCCACAGTTTATTATATTCAGCATCATACTTACATTTGACCATGTCATCAAACTCGTTTGCTGTCTCTGTCAAGTAGCTGTCCATTGGTCATTCACTCTACAGCAGGAAATGGCACTTCAGAATAAAAGCTTTGTGCCAGAAATTCACTACTACTTCAAAATAAAGTGTGTTTTTTTTTTTTTTGCCTCCATGCCAGCGATGGCCACAGCTGGAGGCATCATGTTTTCGGGTTGCGTACTGTATACGTGTCCATCCGTTGTTCCATCCAATCCTTGCGAACACAATATCTCAAGAACACCCCAAGGGAATTTCTTCAAATTTGGCACAAATGTCCACTTGGACTCAATGATTAATGATTTGTTTTTGGTGATCACAGGTAAAAGGTCAAGGTCACTGTGACCTTGTCTGCCTCATTCTCATGGACGTGATATCTCAAGAACACCTTGAAGGAATTTCTTTAAATTGGACGCAAATGTCCACTTGGACTAAAGAATAAACTGAATACAATGTTGTGGTCAACAGTCGAGGTCACTGTGACTTCACAAAATATGTTTTTGGTCATAATTCAATAATTCACACACTAATTATGACAAAACTTCACACAGATGTTCAATTGAATAAAGTCATGGAGTGATGACATTTTATATCCAAAAGGTCAGAGGTCAGCTTCACTGTCACATCACAATGCTCTGCATTAAACACTTTTCTGACCATTATTCAGTGTCATATCTCAGGAACAGAAGGGGAGACATTTTGGTCAAATAGTTTAATTGGTGACACTAATCTTGGGTGTCCACCTTGAAACTGTGCTGATTGTATAGATCTTCTGTGCTGTCAGGGGGACAGTGAGTGTGAGAAATCCATGTTTTCACAGACATGGATGTAAACTGTAAGAGAAACTTGACTCATGGAAGCATACAGCTGCATGGTGATAATTCTAGTTCACAAACTTGACACACTGGCAAGTCACTTGTGACCCATTCAGAATGGACCTGCAATCCACCAGTTGGGAACCACTGATATAAAACACTGGCCCACCTGTATTTTTTTGATACTAGTTCCACTATAGTCCTGGTACAAATACAGGCAGACATGTAGTGGTTAAGTACGTTCAACATTTTCTACACACTGCTTGTGGTGTAAAAATGCCAATATATTAATATGCAGTATCAGTATGTCTGAAAAATGTTAAAATTCAGATTATTTTTGTCTCCATTTTTTATGTACAGAATTTCATTAAGAAAACAGAAACATCCTATTCATCTTCAAACTGTTTATCATACTAACACTTCCCCTGCTTCTGTTGTGGTTGCAGGCGTGCACAGAGATCAATCTGTGCTATGAGAGCAACAATCTGACGGACATGTTTCCTCCCATGGCCTTCACTCAGAGAGACCGTGAGCTTTACTGCTCCAAACGCTGGGCTGTAGTTCCACGACCAGACTGGCTTAAAACCCAGTTCTGGGGCGACGGTGAGCACTTCATACTAACATACACGTCACATTGAAATGTCATATAGAGGTGGAATACATTGGATCTGTCCCTATAGTTACACATGTAGTATTTACTGATAACTGCCACAGTGCTCTGTTTATACCATTTAGACCGGATGCAGCATTTGCGTGTTTATTAGAGCTCAATGGGACAGGCTGAGTTAATGAGGCTGCTCTGTGGCTTTACTCAGCAGAGCTCAGACGCTTTAATTTTTTTATTTTTATATAAAGAACAAATGAGTGGGATCGACAACACAGTAAAACTTGCTTTGAAATGACAATAAAACACAGACAGAATACATTACAGTCTGTTTGGATGCAGTAGTCTCACTCAGTACTGGACACATTTCAAAAATTGTTGTTGTTGTTAGTAACTCAGAGACACAAGCGTGGGAAAATAGGGTCCAGGTTGGAAAATACAGACGTTGCCTGTGAAATGCTGTGGAAACTGGAGTGTTCAGCCCAGTTGAAAACAAACCAGTAAATAACAGTTTAGGTCATGGAGGCACTTGGATTAGCTGTGAAAAGCCATGGAAAATGGAATCCTGAAGTTTAATCATGGTAGACAGACAGATTGACTTTGACTTGGAATGAAACTTGGTTCCTGAGTATTCCCACACACCGTATCTCTACCATTGTTTTTTTAATTTTCTAATATTTAATGAGCTGTCCCCTTGTGTTCAGCCCTCTCTACAGCTAGCAACATTATTTTCTCCAATGGAGATCTGGACCCATGGGCAAATGGAGGGGTAAGAGATTAAACCAAGTGAGCACCCTTCAGTGAACTGTGAAGTCACTGCTTTCAGTCTGAGTCAATCAGCTCTCTGCTTTTTAGGTGCGCAAATCCTTGAGCTCATCGTTGATAGCTATCAACATCTCTGGCGGAGCCCATCATCTGGATCTGAGGTACAGCAGGCAGTCAGCCTCTGGAGACACATCAGTGACTTTTTCTTTTAACTCAGAGCAAAATCTAGTCTGACATGTATCTGTTGTTTTATGCAGAGGATCTAATGATGCTGATCCAGTGTCAGTCATCACTGCCAGGAAGACAGAGGCTGACCTCATCGCACAGTGGGTGAAGATGGAGCGGACCAGATTAAGACGGACACCTTAAAGCACAAGTTCAGAGTGTGTGTCAGGACTGGAATGATGTTGAACTGTTATTTTCTGTGAAATCATGAGGGATATCAAAGACCACTGTAGCATAATTCAGATCATTTCAGTCTGTGACTCCACATTATGACCCAACTCCATGTTGCATATTAACTGTAATCAGTTGGTATGTAATATCTCATGTTCACTCTCTGCAGAGGAGCTGAAACTGAGTGAACTTAAAGGGATAGTTTGAATTTTTTTTGAAGGGGGGTTGTATGAGGTACTAATGTATTACCTACAGCAGATGGTGGTCAGGGTGCCCCGACGTTTGGAGAAGCAGACGGGAGTCCTGACACAGAAGCTCAGCAATGTACTACTGTGGACAGGGGTTGGCAGCAAAATGTATTTTAGCCACCTAATAAAAGTCTACATTAGTCTAAGTGGACACTTAATTGACAATATTTTTGCAGCTTAATTGGCAATCAGAGAGCCCTTTCCTTTGGCACTACATTTTTTCAACTAGAATTTATGTATGGTGAAATACAAACAAAACGAGCATCACATGGACTGTATTAATAATAAATACTCCACAATAATACTAATAACCAACACCAATTCATCCGTCAATGAGAATGTGTGTGTGTTCTGTTACTGTATGTGTTTTTTAGGACAGCAAGAAAACCCGTAAACCAGAGATACCACCATGCCTTGATCAGTGAAGACCTGCTTTGTTTTAATTAGTCAATGATTGACACAAATTTTCTGTTTCTGTTCAATAAAATCTTTAATTTCTGCATTTTTACAAAATTAAAGCCGATCCAGCATTTATTATACACCAGGTGACAACACATTTAGTGTGTTTCAAATAAAAAACAAAAACTCCCCAGATAATGACATTTCTGTATTGTGACAGCTGTGTGCAGGTTCCTGTTAAAAGCAGTCTGCTTTGTGGCTGTGACTAAAATAGAAGTGACTCAGTGACTTCAAAAAATAATTAGCATCAGTCCTCAAAACCCACACTGGTGAAATTTTTATCAAAAGCACTGAATATATCTCCTTTGTTAGTTTTTCCTGAACGAGGTGGCTTTGGAGAAATGGCTTTTTGATGTTTACAACCCCAAACAATATCAAACAGCGGAGTTGGTTATATTTTCAGCATATCTTTGGCTCAGGAATTATGCTGAAATACATCCAGGGAGGGGACACTCACAGCCTCTGCAGGCAGGATTTAAGTACACACTCTGGTACAGATTAGAATTATGTAAACCTGATTGCTTTCAGGGAACTGCTGGAAAAATAGAAATCCTTATTTTATTGTTCTGTTGTAAAAATAGTCAAATCTGCAGTGATCACATCGACCATACACTGTAGCAAACCAGCAATGTACGCACATTAAGAAATAGCTTGAATGGAAAGGAATGGATATTAACAGTTGTCTTCTGAATGTTGTCTGGAGCAACATTAAAGGCACACGTGACATAAAACAGCAAGAAAAACATACATAGAATATACAAGATGAGTTTGGTCTCAATACAAATTCATATAGTCCTTGAAATCAACAGAAGTAGAGCTGTGGTGTAAACTGGTAATATTTACAGGAATGACTGCAGGGTTCTCTGAAGCTGCTACAACTACATAAACTAAACAAAAAGCACAGGGAGAGCTCACTGTAATAAGAAAGCTGCAGTTACCTTTCAGTATACACTACAAATCAATATATTATGCTAAATTTATATTTTAAATCTCACAATTCATTTCTCGCACTTGAAAAACAGGGACATGACAAAAGGAACATTCAGTAAAAAGAGCAGCTGCTCAGCACAATACAAATCATAATTATAATAATATAATTAGAATAACAGAAGCCAAGAACCCATTGTGGTCCTCACAAAACAAAAGCTTCACAGTTCATAAGTACATCTGCTGCTTGGCAACAAGTGGAATCGGACCAAAGTCAGTCCTGAGCAAAGTCATGCTGCATTCATGTCGTATGGAAATCAACGAAGGAAAAATTGGAGGGTTGAAACCTCGTACATGCCACACCAGTTTTCTGTAGGGCTGTAACAGTTTATCATTAACGTGTCATTTCACACAACTTTGTTTTTTCCTTGTTGATTACATCACAGATTCAGTTTTGTTATTTCCTTTAAAGCACGTGGCCACCATGTTGTGTTCATGAATAATAGCTCTGCTCAGCAGGTGTGAAATGGGTCAGGGTTCACTGTCATGTCACTGCCGAAATTAATGCATCACAATGATTAGATATAGATTTATTTAACAATGTTAAAGCCTGAATTGAATCAATGCAACAAGATATATGTATATATACACACACACACACACACA